TTGTACTAATGTATGAGTGCATAAACCAAGGGTCAACTAATACAAATACAGACTCATCAAAAAGATGAAAAGTACCTGCTATGATTTCCGGTCATATCGGTCCTAATATTATATATTCTGGCGACTCCCCAAGTCTCTTGTCGATGCAAGGATTCATCTTGTCCCCTTGATCTTCCCTTTCCTATGCTCCTATTAGAGGCTACCACAGTTCTTTCAGATTGCACCGAATGGTCCCTAGATTTCTTTGGACAATTTCGGGCAAAGTGACCACTCTCGCCACATTGGAAGCAAGCTTCATTGAGAAGTATACATACTCCATGGTGAATTCTTCTACATGTTTGACATACAATTCTTTCTCCAACTGCTCTACCCGAACTAGCACCAACCGACTGAAACTGTCTTGTTTTTCGTGAAGCTGTAGTAGAACCCTCTTTATCCATATATCTCGAACTTGATCCCTTGTATCTCTTAACATAATAGGAAGTTGAAGGCATTCCAACCCTTTTCCCTATCTGCAAACTCTGATCTGTGGCTAATGTCTTCGCTTGAGCTCTCTCGATAGCTTTGGCTCAGTTAATAACTTTTTGTAAGTTAGGCAAACTCAAAGCCAACATCATTTCTTTCAACTTTGGCCTCAACCCCTCAATAAACCAATCGCATCGGGTCTTATCATTGGGAACTACCTCAGTAGTAAAACGACTTAACTTATTATATTCAGCCTTATACTCATGTACTGTTCAATCACCTTGTTTTAAATTATGGAACTTTAACAGCATTGCCCATATGAACTGTTCACCCACATACTTGTTCTTGAATTCTTCCAAGAGGAATTGCCAGGTCAATTGCTCCGGTGGTGCATATATCGTAGTATTTGACCACCATACTCGAGTTGATCCTCTAAGTAAAGATACAGCTCCACCCAACTTTTCTGGATCCAAACAATGAAGACTTTCGAGCATTATTATAACATCATTTAGCCATAAGTCGGCCTCCAAAGGACCTTTACCCTCTTTTTCTCTGAAACTGTGGATCTCCCAAGCTCTTCAACTCTTTTGGGATCATTATTCTCAGTGCTGGAGGAGCAGGGGGAGGCGGAGGATGTTGAAAACAGGTCAATATAGCCTTGAGAGTTTGCATAAAAACTCCATACTTTGGTACCAGCATCGCTTGAAGTGCAGGCGCATTAGCATTTTCAGATGGGACCAGCTGATCACTGTTAGCCTCGTAACTTTCGTTACTAGTTCCTTCTCTAATTTCTTGTTCCCTCGCTCTACGCGAGTTAGAGGATTCTGACATCTATTAGAACACGCATAATAATAATATTTCAGTTAGTAAGGAGTGTCATCAATTATACTTTAATGACACCATATCAATAACCTTGACAATCTTAATGGCATGTAATCCTCTTTTTTCTCATTTCAATTGAACTCAGTTTCGGCCGAGAATTGGCTAAACATGTAGCTCTGATACAAATAAATGTAACATCCATCTCCCGTATACCTTTCCGTACACGAGATACATATGTCACATCCCTTTTAAAATATTTCCTTTTTTAAAAACCCGTAAAATTTTGTTCCCAGATTTTCTTAAAAACATAACGTTTCAATATAAAGTAAAACATTAATCAAAATATGCTAAGAGGTTAAACTTAATACAATTTATAGTATTTTTCGTATTTTAATTACATGCCAACTGAATTTTTTCAAAACAAACCATATTGTCCTATGGTTACTGACGAGTTAACCTTAATTGATGATCGTTGTTGCTGCACTCCTTACTCAGTAGAACCTTGATTGTTCCCTACGCGTACAATCAACACACGTTAAGTATTTACTTAGTGAGACATAATACTGTAAAGATATCACACTTTATACATAAGTATCTTATGAATACTGAATGACAATTTAAATTGCATATTCCATAAGGACCAGATAACCCTTCTGAGTTAAACCATAATTCTTTCATAAAATGATCGAAAATATTCTTAGTAGGCCCATCATATCTATCCTTCTATACATTTTTCCCAATATTCTTTATTTTCACTGTGTACGTTAAATTAGAAAGTACTATACATGTATTGCACCAAAGTGTCAATTGGTCATGTATCTTTTATAATCATCATGGGCAGCATCTTAAACACTGTCATTTTCATTTGGGCATCCTTTCATACCCAGTATGTACTGTTTACATTTTCCTTTATAACATCCATTCATACCACATATATATATTGTTGTACATTATATATATAAAGCATCCTTTTATACCACTTATGCACTATTTATATCAAAATGCATTTTAATTCCTTTAGTCTTTTATCCAAAGGCATTTAGCATTTCATTTAACTTGCATGATTGACACCTTTCTGTCAAATGCACAGCTAGACTATTAATCTTTTACTCAAAGGTATTTAACCTTTCATCTAACTGACATAATTGAAACATTTTTGTCAAATGCACAACTAGGCCATTAGTCTTTTACTCAAAGGTATTTAACCTTTCATCTAACTGCATAATTGACACCTTTCTGTCAAATGCACAACTAGGCCATTAGTATTTTACTTTTGGAATAGTTTCTACTCTAATAATTGTTTATAATATCAATTAACTCTCTCAACTTATTATAAACTCAATAGCTTGCACACGTAGTGCCAATTACAATAAATTCACAAACTTATTATTTACGTAAATGGCACACACATTACCAATGCCACACACATTACCAATGCCAACATTCATAAACTTATAAACATAAGTATAGCATAAAAATTCTAATATCGATTAACTCTTTAATTTATTCTAAACCTTATACATTTGCACCCTTAGTGCTAACATGGTAATTTACCAATTTCCTATTCATGTCCATTTATTAAGATGCACACGTAGTGCCTATACAGTAGTTCACCAACTCATGATGAATTCTGTGGGTTGCACACTTCGTGCCTGTAAGGTTATTCATCAACTAATGATGAATTCCGAGGATTTGCACACATAGTGTCTGTAGTACACATACTCCTGATATACCATTGCAACATATATTTTTAACAATATTTATTTATAACTCTTAATGTACATAATAAAAGCACTCACCTGGATTGCCTCGCTATTATATCTAAAATGCAAAGTTGATTACTCAGGTACTTTGCCTATTCCTTTTGTTTTACTTGACTCAGGAGCTTGATTTCAATCTAATCAATCATTCAATAAAGACATGTACAATATCAATTGTTAGTATATTTCCTAACAATTATACTTAAACATGACTCATGAATTCATATTATTATATTTTCTATAACAATCTTAGCTTATCTTAACAGTTCTGGCTCAATAGTATCGATACCCCTACCATGGTATTGATATTATTATACTATGGTATAGATACCCTATTATGGTACTGATACCATTTTTGCATTCTCTTAACAATGGTATCGATACCATCTTCATAGTATCGATACTCCCCTCTTGGTATCGATACCACTTGAATTGGTATCGATACTACTTAGCAAATTCTACAAATTTTAAGCCTATAGTATCGATACTATTCTATCAGTATCGATACTGTTCTATCAGTACCGATACCATTACCCAGATTTTACATTTTTCAGCTCGAAACATACCCAAATTTGATCAAATTTCCTTATATTTATTCCCAACAATACTATTAAACTCTTATCTACTTATCCATATTAACTTTCATTCATTTAGCTTCTTAAAACATCTAAAATCCCTTAAGCTCACTTGAATCTAATAATCACACCATATTTTCTAACTTGTTTTTAAACTCATCCAATGCTTCTAATCTCTTATTTACTTCATTGACAAGTCAAATATACTAGTAAACATCAATAAACATGACAAGTCAAATCTACTAGTAAACATCAATAAACATTCATATCCTAACATATCATTACAAAACTCATTTCTTTAAATCTCGCATATTTTATCCATCTTTTAGGTTTACTCCTATTTAATCATTCCTTAAGCCTCTATAATAGTCAATGCTTCAAAACCCAACCAAAAATGAAAGAAGAAACTATCCAAATAAAACCTCACCTTTGATATGTGGGAGAGCTTGTTCCACGGGAAGAAGAAAAAGAGAAATAATTTTTTAGCTATCTTGCTTTCCCCTTTCATTTACTTTAATACCTTATTAAAGAAAATAAATTTAAAATTCATTTTCCTTTAAATGATCAGAATGCCCTCTTTATTCATCTATTAATACAATTTAGTCTAACACTATTCCAAATCATTTCTTCATCTTTTACCATTTATTTAATTAAATCTTCTAATTTTAAATATGTTCAATATAGTCCCTGACCTAATATTTGGGGTATTACATACCCGATCTGACCCGAACCGGTTAACCGTTAATTGTTGACCATTGATCGTTGACCGCTGTTGGCTTTTTCCAAAAACCTCAGTCTTTATTTTTAATGTCCTAAGTGTGATTTTGAGATCTGTTTTGTCAAATTCTGACCCGAAAGTCCCTAATCGAGCATGTTAATCCGAAAATGCTTAGTATTTTTAGCATTTTTGCTTATTTATTTGAGATTTGAATATGAAATTAATTCAAGAATACATTTTTATAACCTGAAAGTCCCTAATCAAACCTGTTAATTCGAAAATGCTTAGTATTTTTAGCATTTTTGCTTATTTATTTGAGATTTGAATATGAAATTAATTCAAGAATATATTTTTATGGTGTTCATTTTTCTCCGACTGGTGATCGATTAGATACATAATTTAATTTAGTATTAAATATAAATAATTTATACTTTTAATTAAATTTTATATGATAAATTAATCTAACATCAATTAATTTATGATTTAAAAAAAAGAAAAATTCAATAAGATTTTTTATGTAAAAAAATTCCTCAAATTATTAATATAAACAAACTGTGACGTGTGTGTTCAATCTTTCATACTCCAGAATATGTCCTTCACCCTCCACGTGTCCCATGTAGCTTACCCTTCAAGCTCTCTCTCTCTCTATATTAGCATCTGCATACAATTTGAAAGTTACCAAATCCAAACCCTAGCTCAACCCCAAAAAAGCTCATTCGCTACAACATCGACGGCGAGAATGCTGAGGCTGGTGGCTAATAGGCTGCTCGGGACAGCGTCACGGGACGCCCCATCGCGTCCCCTTCAATTTCTACCGCGTTTTTACCACGAGAATGTCATCGATCACTACAACAATCCTCGTAACGTCGGCTCCTTCGATAAGAACGACCCCAGCGTCGGTACTGGCCTGGTTGGAGCTCCGGCTTGTGGCGATGTTATGAAGCTTCAAATCAAAATCGACGAGGAATCAGGGAAAATCGTCGATGCTTGCTTTAAAACCTTCGGCTGTGGGTCGGCTATTGCGTCTTCTTCTGTCGGTATGTCATCATTTTTCTTTTCCTTAATACTTATGGTTTTTGGGATATATGGGTCTAATTTGTTTTGATCGGCGCTGTGATATTTATTCATTTAGGTTATTTTCGTTTTGCTCTATTAAGTTTATTTAAAAATATCCCAAAGAAGAAAATAATAATCCAAATTTAAAATTTCATATGCGTATAATTGTTTGATTTCAGTGGGAAATTCACAAAAAAGAGTAGGAAAAACGGATAGGTTTTTATTTTGAAACATAAATTTTGTTTCCAATCCAAAACAGAAGAAAAGTACTTCATTTGTACAAAAGCAAATACTTATGTTAATCAATTAAATGTGTCTTTTTCATAAAGAAAATGCATGATTTTGCTTTAATATGGAATAAATATGTTAAATTATTGTTGATTTGTTGTATGAAGTTGATTTTGAAAAGCAGAAAAAGATATTTTCAAAAACCAACTGAAAAAATGTGTATTTGTTTTGACTGCAATGTTGAAACTTCTAATCTGTTTTATTAATATCATTCTGTATTTTGCACATGTGAGTTTATTTCAAATGGCCCTCAATTTTTTTGGAGATATGCTGTAACTTAGGGCTTTTTAATATTGCAGCCACTGAATGGGTGAAAGGGAAAAGTATGGACGAAGTGCTTACCATTAAGAACACGTAAGTATAATTTCCTTATCTCAAACTTCAATTCTAATCCTTTTCAAGGATACTTTGTAGAATTCTTTTTCATGTCTGTTATTTGAAACTAGTTAAGAGGAAGTACTTAGCCATGTCTACATTTAGGAAGGGATGGCATTAATTACTTGCAGCTTTAGTATGCATTTTTAAAATTGTATGTAATTCTAGGGTATTCTTTATTATCCCTGTGTATGCACAATGATATTAAGGCCAAGTGGTGTCTATCAGAGAGTCCGTGCATAAAGGTTAAAGCGCTGTCTAACATTTTTCTATTTCTATTGAGCTTTTTGTCTAATAAATCTTCAGATTATGACTTCAACTATCAACAGGATCAACATGATAGTTACAGTTAGTCATGAGAAGTATTTGATGTTATTGTGATTTTTTTTTTCATTGCAACAGATGTAGGTGTAAATTGTAATTATATAGTATGATTGTCTAAATTGTTAAGAGCGTCCAAATATAAGTCTTAAGGTGATTACATGGTATGCATAAGCAAATGCATGGCTTTCATGTTTAGCCAACTGTTGTATTCCCTTTGTTTTAAGTTGGGGAAGTTAGGGTTTTACTGTGCTCTTTTGTGTGGGGACCATCCACCAACCTTGTAATCTAATATGTGAATGAATTAGTTGGAAGGTTAATATATGGTAGAATAAATGATGTAAGGAAATGTAGGATAGATGTCGAAGGATGCTCTTCCTTTTTATGGTCTGGAAGAGCAGGGTAGACAAGTCTTTGTTTGTCTTTTTGGAACCAATGGTTCATTTCATTTATCTATAATTTTCCCCCCAATCAAATGTACTCTGATGAAATGCATATTTGTCACTGTGTTGTACGTAAAACTACAGGGAGATTGCAAAACATCTTTCACTTCCACCAGTTAAGCTGCACTGCAGTATGCTTGCAGAAGATGCAATTAAGGCAGCTGTGAAAGATGCGGAAGCTAAACGTGCCCAAATGAATGGTCGTTCGAAGGCTGCTGATGTGTAAGTTGATAAATAAAGACAAAACGGACCCCGGGAGAAAAATTCTACTGGTCCAAGAGGTGTGTATGGTCAATGGTAAAACTATGTAACTACAGAATAAGGTGTTGGCTCTGTCCAGATCCACACAGGATCGTTATGATAATATTAGCTCTCTAATGAAGTTCTTATACACATTGCTTGCACCTCCTTGACGTTGTGCAATTTACCGTTAGTTCTGTATATTTGTGGTGTGTATGGAGCTGGGTGCCATTATGTTTGCCTGGAGCTTGGTTTTGCATCTTATTGTTGGATCCAGGTTAATGGCTGGATGCTGATGTACGGAATTAAAAAAAATTGCTTACGACTAACGACACTTTTTATTTGATGGGCATTCTTATAGTATTATGTTCCGAAATAAACAGATGGATTTTGAAAATTGTTTTTTGAAAAAAATTCTTTTCAAAAAGTGAGGTTGAAAAGTGTGGTTTGGTAATTTAAATTATTATTTGGTAATGATATGATGTTATAGAAAATGGTATTATGATAATTTAATGATATTTTGATTATTTTTTACATTAGAAGATCAACTATCTTTTTAGTATTGAAAATGTTTTCTTATATAAATTGTTTTGAAACTAAAAAAAATTAAATTATATTGCACGGTCTCAATGATAAAAAAATTAATATTATCTTTTGAAGTTTAGAATTTGAGTATTATAAAGATTAGAAGTGTAAACGTTTAATGTCTAATGGTTGTGTGATAAAATGATTGATGTTATTTTTTGAGATTTAGAGTTTAACGTAGTGAAATGAATAACTAAATGATAAAGAGTTATCTTTAATTGATATTATTGTATAGTTATTTTGGATTATTAAAAAAAACTATTTACAAATATCTAATTAGCATTATTAACTTTTGAGAATCAGGCTTAACAATATAGAAAATCGAACATAATATGTACGAACAGAATAAGTATTCATTAAAAAGATCTTCGTCTCGAAATAAAATTTTCAAAAATATTCTAGTTATATAAATTATCAAAGTTCAAGCAACGTAAATGATAGAATAAGTATGGATCAAACTTTTGTGTGAAAAGAATTAGGGCTAATGATACCAATACATGTACTATTGAATTTTTTAATGTAGTGTCTCTATTTTCTAAGTGTTGAACGTATCTCTTGTATTTTGTTATTATTTTTAAAATACATTTTGTGTAATTTTCTAGACTTGGTCCAAACGTTATAATCGAGTCTAGTTAGTCACATATCTTATTTCAGAAAATTTTATAAAATTTAAATTCATTGATAACAGAAAATATGTTCATTTATATATAAGTAAAATAATATAATATTTAAAATTCACTAAGTAAAGTTTGTAATATTTATGAAATAATATAGAAAAACATATAAATACTACGTAAATAAAGTACCAGACATATCAAGTGTATCTGCAGAAAAACATAACTATAAAATCAATAGTAGAATCACATGTCACCACAATAAACATATATTAAATAGAAGTACAAAAACGAAAGCAGTTGATCATCCAGATGTCAAGTCCAAAACTTAAGTATGATAATATATGAAAAATATAAAATTAAAGGAAAAATAACTCGAAAGACCAGTGTGCTCCTTAAAGTGAAAAAATACAAATATTAAAGCATTATTAAAATTTATTTATAAAACATGGTTTGAAAATACAAATATGTAAGTTTCTCTAAACTATACACCCACTTGTACACTCGATAAGGACCTTCTCCATATAGCATAAGGACATTAGGTAAAGATTTTACCCTTTTGCTCAAGGCATAAAAGCATGTGGTAAGATCTTATAAGTCATAGACTATGCCTGAATACTTCTTCAAAATATAATCACCAGTCAAAGTCAATGTCAGTTAACAGTTAAAGGACTTATTTCAAGGTTTTCGGTTTAGAAATTGACAAAATGGACTACAAAACAAAATTTAGAACGTCAAAAAAATTAGGGTAAGGGTTTTTGAAAAAGTCAACTCCAGTTAACAATCAAAGTCAATGTCCGTTAATGGTTGGTCAATGTTGATCAACGGTCAGTCAATGATCGACTCAGTTCTATATGTGGGGCTCATTCGCGACCACGGTGGTCGAAAAATTATGAAAAGCTCCAAAATTTAAAATCAGAGGATTTTAAATAACTTACTATGCTTGTTTTGTGACGAAGAACAACATAAGAAGATTTTCTCGAACTACCAAAATTCATCTCCTTTACGCTCCATGATAGCAACAATAATACTAGAACCAAGACCACAAATCGTCACACAATGATGATCTAAAATTAATTATGTTGACGATGTAACATGCAAACATTTGATCTGAGATAGATTGAAGGCGACAACATTTGTGTGAGATGGAGAAAAATAAACCTTAGGAAAAAAATAAATTTGGGAGTTCAAAAGTCTCCCTTCTAGAAAATGAGTTTATATACTCCATTTAGCACATTTATTTCGGAAACAACTTAAAAATAGTTAAAGCCATTTTCTATTTTAAAGGCATTCTAACACATACGGTTAAAGAAGCTGTTAGTATCTCGGGGTCGTGGGTTTGAATTTGTAATACCCCAATTATTATGTAAGTGACTTTATTGAAAACATTTAAAATGTGAGGATTTATTTGATTAAATGGTAAAAGATGAGGAAATGATTTGGAATATTGTTTAGGTTAATTTGTGATAATAGTTAAATTAAGAGGGCACTTTGGTCTTTTAAGAGCGAAATGAATTTAAAAAAAATATATAAGGGATTTTAAATAGGAAGAAAGAGAAGAGTAAAACATTTTTCTCTACTATTCTTCTTCTTCACGTGGTGTTGCTACTCTTCTCTCTAGAATAAGGTAAGCTTCTATTTGTTAGTGTTTCCTTTAAATTATAGGTTGCTTTGGTAACATTAAGTGGTATATATGATTAACGAAGGATTAGATGGGATTAAAACTATGAAATAGAGTAAATAATGGAGATTTTAGAAAACGGGTTTTGAAATGATATGTTGATATATGAGTGTTTGTTGATGTTTACTGGTAGATTTGAATTGTCAAAGAGGTAAATAAGAGATTAGAAGCATTGAATAGGATTAAGAACATCTTAGGAAAAGTGGTGTGATTCTTAAAATTGAATGTTCTTGAAAGATTTTTGATGTTTTAAGAGGTTAAATGAAGGAATATTAGTATGGATAGTTAAAGAAGAGTTTAATAGTATTATATGGTGTAAGTATAACGAAATTTGACCCCATTTGGGATGATTATCGGGTTAAAAACATCTAAAATCCCTTAAGCTCACTTGAATCTAAGGATCACACCATATTTTCTAACTTGTTTTTAAACTCATCCAATGCTTCTAATCCCTTATTTACTTCCTTGACAAGTCAAATCTACTAGTAAACATCAATAAACATTCATAACCTAACATATCATTACAAAACCCATTTCTTTAAATCTCGCATATTTCATCCATCTTTTAGGTTTACTCCTATTTAATCCTTCCTTAAGCCTCTATAATAGTCAATGCTTCAAAAACCAACCAAAAATGAAAGAAGAAACTATCCAAATAAAACCTCGCCTTTGATATGTGGGAGAGCTTGTTCCACGGGAAGAAGAAAAAGAGAAATAACTTTTTAGCTATCTTGCTTTCCCCTTTCATTTGCTTTAATACCTTATTAAAGAAAATAAATTTAAAATTCATTTTTCTTTAAAGGATCAAAATGCCCTCTTTATTCATCTATTGATACAATTTAGTCTAACACTATTTCAAATCATTTCTTTATCTTTTACCATTTATTCAATTAAATCTTCTAATTTCAAATATGTTTAATACACTCCCTGACCTAATATTTGGGGTATTACATACCCGATCTGACCCGAACCGGTTAACCGTTAATCATTGATTGCCTTTGACTTTTTCCAAAAACCTCAATCTTTATTTTTAATGTCTTGAGTCTGATTTTGAGATCCGTTTTGTCAAATTCTGACCCGAAAGCCTCTAATCGAGCCCGTTAATCCGAAAATGCTTAGTATTTTTAGCATTGTTTCTTATTTATTTGAGATTTGAATAAGAAATTAATTCAAGAATATATTTTTATGAAGGTGCTCATTTTTCTCTGACTGATGATCGATTAGATACTTAATTTAATTTAGTATTAAATATAAATAATTTATACTTTTAATTAAATTTAATATGATAAATTAATCTAACATCAATTAATTTATGATTTAAAAAAGAAAAATTCAATAAGATTTTTTATGTAAAAAAACTCCATAAGTTATTAAATAAACAAACTGTGACGTGTGTGTTCAATCTTTCATACTCCAGAATAGGGCTGTAAATGAGACATACAGATCGCGAGCTACTCGAGATCAATTCGATCAAGGCTCGATAAATACTCGGATCGAATAGACTCGACTCGAGCTCGACTCGAGTTCTTAACGAGCTGAAACGAGCTACTCGATATTCGACTCGAAAAGCTCGTGAGCAGCTCGAAAAAATGTTATATTATAATTTTAGATTTTTTAAAATTACATTATTAAAAATATATTAAAAAATCCTAAACCCTAAACCCTAACCCCTAAACACTAAACCTTAAATATCTTAAAACATAAACCCTAAACCTAAACTTTAACTCTTAAACCCTAAACTCTTGATCCGATTATGCGATAGGGGTTAAGTTATGCACATGAAAGTAACATACAAATTATGCAAAATGATATTATGTGACTCCTAAATAAATCATTCGCATACTTATATATAAACATATCAACATGCAAAATAAATATACACAACTAATTAAAGAAAACAATCCTAAACAGGGACTAAATTAAGAGAAACCTAAATGTGAGGACTAATTTAAGCTAAATATACTAACTTTAGAATGATGATTAAATTCACGTAAATGTAAAAATTAAACTTGTTATCGACCGGCACTAACTTGTTATCGGATTTCTTTTTCCAATTTTCAATGTTTGGTTCCATCTTAACCATTGGTGCAATGCTTGGTGCTGACTGTCACTAGTGGTAGGATTGTAGACATGATTGGTTGAAAAGGGGTATGTTCTGTTTCGGAATTGAATTGAAAAAAGCATATTGCAAATGATAACTATACTAAATTTCTGCAACTTCAATGGAATCAGGCTAATATATTATCAGCTGGTTTTTGCATCACTGGATGGCTTGCTGTATACACCACTCTTGGCATTTAATTGCCCAGTCATTGCATATCTGGCAACCAAACAAACAAAACAATCGATGTTCAAGGCATTCATTCAAAAATTAAGCTATATAGAACGATAACTTTAGGTTGTTAAAGTTATGCTTGTTTCTGAAACGTCTCAGTAATCAAATGTCAACTTATAAATTTTTAGGTTCCAACAAAAATTCATAATAACTATATAAAATATCATGAAGTGTAAGAAGAACAGTAAATTACATACTCGGGTGCATGATAACCAAAGGTTCCAAGTACACGAGTGGAATGAAGACGAGCTGCCATATCAAAGTCTGCAATCTTGGCAACGTCATCATCAAATATTAGCACATTGCTAGACTTAATGTCACGATGAATGATGTGAAGATCAGCCTTCTCATGCAAGTACTCGAGTCATTTGGCAGCTCCTACAGCAATTTTTACTCTTTGAGCCCATGTTAGAACAGGACCCGGCTGAGCTCACTTGACACCTTTTCTCCCTGAATTAAAGAAAAAAATATTGTGATATTAACAGCAAGACATGCAAATATTACAAACTGGAGATTCTGTTTCTAAAAGAGAAAGAAACTTTAAATTTTATAATTGCGTCAGATCCTTGCTTCAAGCATCATCACACCCTTATATGCTTTTCAAGTTTTTTATAACAGGAGCAATGAAAGAAGCATCGTCACATATACAATGGAGAATATCATGCAACGATCCATTGGATGCAAATTTCATAGGCAAGAATACGGGAGTTCTTATCAACACAGTAACCAAGTAATTGAACAAAGTTTTCATGCTTCGACCTTGATGCCCTGGAAACCTGAAAATCATGAATCAGAGGATAAAAATATGAAACTCCAAAATTACTATCGTTGAGATGCAGTAAATGCAATGAATTATAACTGTTAATTGAACCTGGGCTAAAAACTCATCATCAGGTATTCAGGTTGCTTGCTGGCATCTAACTTTTTTATTGCTGCAGCCTGCCCACTTTTAAGAACTCCATGATAGACTCTACCATAAGAACCTTCTCCAATAATAGAATTAGGGTCAAGATTATATGTGATTTCCTTTAATTCATCTACTGGAATTTCAGGGACTTCAATAGGCTGAACCTTCACAATTTGAGCACTCTTTGATGCAGTTTCAGATGCATGGTAAACTATCTGTCCCTTATCTTCTCGTAAGGGTGATTTGGAGAGGGGTCTGGAAGAATTAAATTTGGGGAGGAGGAAGAGGAGAGTTTGGTGCTTGATCACGACAATGTAGAGCCGCTTGTTTCGTTCGAGAATTGTCTTGCAAGGAGGTTCTATTTACAGCCATGGGAACGTGGTGGATGAACAAAGAAAGAGGAAGGTATGTATTGATCCCAGTATCCCACATCGGTAGGTTTAGGGAAGCTTTGCGCTGGGGGATATTATAAAAGGCGAGGATACACATGTTTAAGGCAGATTTGCGTTGGGGGCAATGACGCAGCTCATTCGGTTCTAACCGAGGCGTATCTTTCAAATCCCCTCTTAGGCTTCGAGTATGAATCGAGCTCAAAATCGATCTTGAGTTCGAGTCTCGAGTTTTAATCGAGCTCTTGAAGTTTTCGAGTTTTTTCGAGTTCGAATCGAGTTTAAATATTATCTTTCGAGTTCGAGTCGAGTTTGAAAATTTTAGGCTTCCGAGTTTTCGAGTCGAGTTTAAAAATTTTAAGCTCGCGAGTTTTCGAGTCGAGTCGAATTTATATTTAGAATTTTCAAATTTAAGTCGAGTTCGACAATTCTCGAGTTCGACTCGACTCGTTTACACCCCTACTCCAGAATATGTCCTCACCCTCCACGTGTCCCATGTAGCTTACCCTTCAAGCTATCTCTCTCTATAAATCAGCATCTGCATACAATTTTCTACAACATCGACGGCGAGAATGCTGAGGCTGGTGGCTAATAGGCTGCTCGGGACAGCGTCACGGGACGCCCCATCGCGTCCCCTTCAATTTCTACCGCGTTTTTACCACGAGAATGTCATCGATCACTACAACAATCCTCGTAACGTCGGCTCCTTCGATAAGAACGACCCCAGCGTCGTTACTGGGCTGGTTGGAGCTCCGGCTTGTGGCGATGTTATGAAGCTTCAAATCAAAATCGAGGAGGAATCAGGGAAAATCGTCGATGCTTGCTTTAAAACCTTCGGCTGTGGGTCGGCTATTGTGTCTTCTTCTGTCGGTATGTCATCATTTTTCTTTTCCTTAATACTTATGGTTTTTGGGATATATGGATCTAATTTGTTTTGATCGGAGCTGTGATATTTATTCATTTAGGTTATTTTCGTTTTGCTCTATTAAGTTTATTTACAAATCCCCCAAAGAAGAAAATAATAATCCAAATTTAAAATTTCATTTGCGTATAATTGTTTGATTTCAGTGGGAAATTCACAAAAAAGAGTAGGAAAAACGGATAGGTTTTTATTTTGAAACTTAAATTTTGTTTCCGATCCAAAACAGAAGAAAAGTACTTCATTTATACAACAGCAAATACTTATGTTAATCAATTAAATGTGTCTTTTTCATAAAGAAAATGCATGATTTTGCTTTAATATGGAATAAATGTGTTAAATTATTGTTGATTTGTTGTATGAAGTTGATTTTGAAAAGCAGAAAAAGATATTTTCAAAAACCAACTGAAAAAATGTGTATTTGTTTTGACTGCAATGTTGAAACTTCTAATCTGTTTTATTAATATCATTCTGTATTTTGCACATGTGAGTTTATTTCAAATGGCCCTCAATTTTTTTGGAGATATGCTGTAACTTAGGGCTTTTTAATATTGCAGCCACTGAATGGGTGAAAGGGAAAAGTATGGACGAAGTGCTTAGCATTAAGAACACGTAAGTATAATTTCCTTATCTCAAACTTCAATTCTAATCCTTTTCAAGGATACTTTGTAGAATTCTTTTTCATGTCTGTTATTTGAAACTAGTTAAGAGGAAGTACTTAGCCATGTCTACATTTAGGAAGGGATGACATTAATTACTTGCAGCTTTAGTATTCTTTTTTAAAATTGTATGTAATTCTAGGGTATTCTTTATTATCCCTGTGTATGCACAATGATATTAAGGCCAAGTGGTGTCTATCAGAGAGTCCGTGCATAAAGGTTAAAGCGCTGTCCAACATTTTCTATTTCTATTGAGCTTTTTGTCTAATAAATCTTCAGATTATGACTTCAACTATCAACAGGATCAACATGATAGTTACAGTTAGTCATGAGAAGTATTTGATGTTATTGTGATTTTTTTTTTCATTGCAACAGATGTAGGTGTAAATTGTAATTATATAGTATGATTGTCTAAATAGTTAAGAACGTCCAAATATAAGTCTTAAGGTGATTACATGGTATGCATAAGCAAATGCATGGCTTTCATGTTTAGCCAACTGTTGTATTCCCTTTGTTTTAAGATGGGGAAGTTAGGGTTTTACTGTGCTCTTTTGTGTGGGGACCATCCACCAACCTTGTAATCTAATATGTGAATGAATTAGTTGGAAGGTTAATATATGGTAGAATAAATGATGTAAGGAAATGTAGGATAGATGTCGAAGGATGCTCTTCCGTTTTATGGTCTGGACGAGCAGGGTAGACAAGTCTTTGTTTGTCTTTTTGGAACCAATGGTTCAATTCATTTATTTATGATTTTCCCCCAATCAAATGTACTCATGATGAAATGCATATTTGTCACTGTGTTGTACGTAAAACTACAGGGAGATCGCAAAACATCTTTCACTTCCACCAGTTAAGCTGCTCCGCAGTATGCTTGCAGATGATGCAATTAAGGCAGCTGTGAAAGATGCGGAAGCTAAACGTGCCCAAATGAATGGTCGTTCGAAGGCTGCTGATGTGTAAGTTGATAAATAATGACAAAACGGACCCCGGGGGAAAAATTCTACTGGTCCAAGAGGTGTGTATGGTCAATGGTAAAACTATGTAACTACAGAATAAGGCGTTGGCTCTGTCCAGATCCACACAGGATCGTTATTGATAATATTAGCTCTCTAATGAAGTTCTTATACACATTGCTTGCACCTCCTTGACGTTGTGCAATTTACCGTTATTTCTGTATATTTGTGGTTTGTATGGAGCTGGGTGCCATTATGTTTGTCTGGAGCTTGGTTTTGCATCTTATTGTTGGATTCAGGTTAATGGCTGGATGCTGATGTACGGAATTTAAAAAAAAATTGCTTACAACTAACGACACTTTTTATTTGATGGGCATTCTTATATTATTATGTTCCGAAATAAACAGATGGATTTTGAAAATTGTTTTTTGAAAAAATCTCTTTTCAAAAAGTGAGGTTGAAAAGTGTGGTTTGGACACTTTTTGTTTTTATCTGTAGATCTGGTTTAGATCTATGATTTTTCTTGTGTTTTTCCTTTGTTATTTTTAGATTGTTTTTGTTCATATTCGATCTGCAGGTTACTAGCCCAAATCATTTTATTAAATCATATGCTTGGATCTCTGAGCTTGTTGAAATAAAAACATTGATTTTCTTTGCTTTGCCGTGTTTTCAAGAGTCTGGAACTTTGATTGTAAGTTTTTTTTAGAAGTTCAGTTTGTTCAGCCTTTGACCGTGTTAGTCTCTTCATTTGGACCCGCTTTGACTAAACGTTGAACTCCTTCTCTCTCCCTTTCTACTCTTTTCCAGCTTGCCAAGCTTGCCCCAGGGGATCACTTTTGACTGATACAACTTACAGATTTTATGATTTATTTTCGGGTTTCGAAGCTCAGCTAATTGGTTGGCTTCTTGATCTTCTTTTTTGGGATTTTTTTCTTTTCTTCTTAAATTGTAGTAGCGTACAGTGCTTTAATCTGGGTTTCCTGTGACAAAAGTAACATTGATTAAAGGATTAGTATTTTCACCGAGGCTCTCTTCAACCTTCGCGTATCTGTTCAAGATCTTGATGAATTTCAATTCGATTCCCATCAAATTCTTCTCAAGGCTCTTTGGGTATTTTGTTTCTCTTTCTTCTGATCTATATATCATATTATCTACAGCATCATCACAGTTTCTCACAAATATCAAATCTGTTCTAGTTCATCACTGTTCTGTTTTGATCTATATTGTTATTTTTTGCTGATAGAGGTACTCATTTTTGCAGTTGAAATAATTCTTCAGATCCACTGATTTTCTTTTAATTTTTTTTCTAACAAGCTTAAGCTATACGAACCAATATTTTTGTTAATTTGTTTGTTATGTTGAATATTATCTGCTGAAATCTTGGCGTAACTATGTTATAGGTTTGGTTGCATTGTTATCTGTTGGGTAGCTAAGAAAAATTGAAGGAAGTGGGACGGAGAAAAGAGCTCCCATAATTTGTTTTTTAAATTTTTTTTATTCAATTTGGTTTTAAAGGATTGAAAGATACACCTTACTTGAGCGTCGGTTACTGTGAGTGTGTATCTCTTGTCTTCTTTGGAATCCCTTTTCATAGTTCCTCATAGCTTCGGCTACAGATGATTACTTGAGGTCATGTCCTTTTAGATCCCATAGGGCGTATAAGGGGAGGTCTCAACATAGTGATGTCAAGGAGACTAGACTTAGAGTTTGTTTGTTGAACGTAGGCACATTAAATGCTAAGCTGTTGGAGTTGATCGACGTACTTATTAATAAGAAAATTGATTTTGCATGTATTCAGGAGACTAGGTGGAAAGGGGCTCGCGCCAGAGAGTGTAATGGGTATAAGTTGTGGTATTCAGGTGTAGATAATGCTAGAAATGGGGTGGGTATTCAGGGGCTCAAGGAAAATGTAGTTGAAGTTTGTAGATACCGGGATAGGATCATGATGATTAAGGTTATTATAAGCGGAAGTGGTGAATGTCCTTTCAGTGTACGCTCCACACGTTGGCCTATGGGAAAAGGAGAAACGCTGCTTTTGAGATCAGTTAGATGATGTACTTAGGAGCATTCCGGAGGACCAAAGAGTTTTAATAGGGGGAGACTTCAATGGCCATATAGGTAGTGCAACCGATGGGTATGTGTTCATGGGGGTTAGTTTTGGTAGTAGGAACGAGGAGGGGCGTACGTTGCTTGAATTTGCTACTACACACGATATGGTGGTCAATAACTCATTCTTTAGCAAGAAAGATGTGAACTTGATTACGTTCCATAGCGGGGGACATTGTACCCAAATTGACTACATCCTGGTTCAAAATCGGGATCGATGGGCTTGCATTGACTGTAAAGTGTTCCCGGAAGAGGCATGTGCATCCCAACACAGATTGTTGGTTTTGGTGTTCCGTGTTTGCCACAAGCGGAGCACTCATAGGAGGGCTAAACTTGGTAAACCTAGGATCCTTTGGAAGAACTTACATGGATCGACAGCTGATGACTTTAGGGGTAAGATTTTATCTATTACAAGTTGTGGAACTACAAACTCAAACAATGCAGATATGTTATGGAAAAATATGACAAATACCCTCAGGGAGGTGGGTAAAAACACCCTTAGGTTGTCGTCAGGGAAGGTCAAGGAACATAAAGAATCGTGTTGGTGGAACAACGAAGTCCAAAATAAGGTGAAGACAAAGCAAACTTGCTTCAAGGAGTTTCTATAATGCAATGATGACGAAGAAAGATCGAGAGCTAAACAAAGATACAAGGAGGCAAAGCGAGAAGCCAAGAAAACAGTGGCTAAAGCAAAGGATAAGGCATATGAGGAAATGTACAAGAGATTAGACACCAAGGAAGGACAATATGACATCTTCAGGCTTGCAAAATCTAGGGAAAATAGGAAAAATGATCTATCTAGCATTAGGTTTATTAAGGACAACAATGATGTTCTTTTAGTGAAAGATCATGATATTAAAAGAGTTTGGGGTAGTTACTTCTTTGGCTTATTTAATGATGGTGCCTCTCCCTGTAGATATAATACCTTTGATGGATCAACCGACCATCATACTACAACAAATGACTGCCCTACAAGTAGGATTGGGTTTGAGGAAGTCAAAATGGCCCTAAGAAAGATGGGGAGGGACAAAGCTGTCGGTCCAGATCAAATTCCTATCACTGTGTGGTTAGCTCTAGGAGAAGAGGGAGTTAAGTGGTTGACCAACATCTTTAATATTATTTTAGAGACTGCCAAGATGCCAGAGGAGTAGAGAGAGTCTACGGTAATACCAATATATAAGAATAAAGGAGATCTCCAACGAACGTTGTGGCAACTGCAGAGCTATTAAACTACTCAGTCATACCATGAAACTATGGGAAATGGTTATAGAGGCTAGGTTGAGACAAGTTACTAGGGTTTCGGAAAACCAATTTGGCTTTATGTCAGGCAGGTCTACATGGAGGCGATTCATCTACTTCGACGACTTATGGAGAAATATAGGAAAAAAATATAGATCTTCACATGGCGTTCATTGACCTTGAGAAGGCGTATGATAGCGTTCCCCGCGATATGATCTGGAAGACCTTGGAAAAGAGACAGATCCCAACTGCTTAGATCCGGGCGATTCGTGATATGTATTGTAGATCTACTACATATGTCAGGACTACAACTGGTGACACCGAGGCATTCCCGGTGGAAATCGGACTCCACCAGGGGTCGGGTCTTAGCCCTTACATCTTCGCCTTGATTATGGAAGACATCTATTGTGCGACACCAGACGGTGTTCCATGGTGTATGCTTTTCGCTGATGACATTGTCCTAGTTGCTGAAACAAAAACTGAGCTGAATAGTAGATTGGCTACCTGGAAGATTGCTTTGGAAGACAAAGGTCTAAGAATCAATATTAAAAAGACAGAGTATTTATGTTCAAACTTCAGTGGGAACCAAAACGATGAAGATGTAGAAGTATGCATAGAAGGACACGTTCTCTCCTCAAATAATTGTTTCAAGTACCTAGGGTCTATGATATATAAAGATGGGGGTGTATATGATGACGTTACACACCGTATAAAGGCGGGATGGCTAAAGTGGAGGGCTGCTACTGGAGTTTTGTGTGACAAGAAAATACCTCTAAAACTTAAGGGAAAATTTTATAAAATGGCAATAAGACCAGCGCTGCTGCATGGATCAGAATGTTGGGCAATCAAGAATGATCACATAAGGATGATGGAGGCTGCAGAAATGAGAATGCTTCGATGGGCATGTGGTAGGACTCTTTCGGACATGACACCAAACTCTGCTACTAGGAGGTCCTTGGGGGTGGTGCCTATATCTGAAAAATTGAGGGAGGGAAGACTACGGTGGTTTGGGCATGTCCTTAGGCGAAAACCGTCAGAAGCGGTCAGGAGGGTAGAGTCAATTACAGTCGACGGTGCCAGAAGGAGGGGACGACCAAGATGGAAGTGGGAAGACTACTTGTTATCTGATTTGAAGGATTTAGCCCTTACCGAGGACATGACCTCTGATAGGAAAGTATGGAGACTTAAGACCAGGGTAGCTGAGTAGTTGCGGGTCACAATCATACGGTGTAACTTCTCTGTCCTCTTTTTAATGCATTTGTAGTAATTTTCATGACTTATAGTTTTTAAGTTTCTTTCATTGGATTTTATGAACGCTTAGAACTAAGGTAGCGAAGTGGTATTGCCTTAATTTAGGTTTTAACCCATTTGACTTTATTCCTTCTTGTAGCTTGTTATCGTTGACTCATGTGTATCCTTCTTTTCAGGTTTCTTCTTTTTAAATTTAGCCAGGTCTTACGTTACTGTCTATATGCAGAGATTTAAACGCAGGGATTTATTTGCAGGGATTACTCCCCATTACAGACGCGCATATGAAGACTGCATATGAAAAATGTTCAACTATGTATTTATTTATTTAATTATACATGCATTGCATTTTATCTTTATTTTTAATTTTTCTGACTGCCGGAGGTCTTTCACGGAAGCTGCTCTCAACCTTGCGTTTAGGGCCAACCTACTACCCTATCTCCCCCTTATCCCATTACATATGGAAATAGGGTTTTGTTGTTGTTGTTGTTGTTGTTGTTGTTGTTGTTGTTGTTGTATTATGATAATTTAATGATATTTTGATTATTTTTTACATTAGAAGATCAACTATCTTTTTAGTATTGAAAATGTTTTCTTATATAAATTGTTTTCAAACAAA